GTCGTAGAGGTAGTGACCCAACGATGGGAGTATCGTATAAAGGCAGGGGCCCGAGAAATTGGTGTGTCGTGGAGGCAGTGACGCGAGTGTGGACATGTCGTGGAGGCAGTGACCCGAGGATGGGCTTGTCGTGGAGGCAGGGGCTGGAAGAGAGGCAGGGGCCCGAGAAATTGGTGTGTCGTGGAGGAAGTGACCCGAGGATAAGCGTGTCGTGGAGGCAGGAGCCCGAGAAGTGGTTATGTCATGGAGGCAGGGACTGGAAGGGTGGGCATGTCGTAATGCCGTGAAGGCAGTGATTCGAAGAGGTGTGATACATGCAAACGATAATGATAATGCAAGGTAACACATAGAATATGCAATGCATCATACAAGTAGGAAAACATGTACATGCAAACAAATATATAAAATGATCCAAAAAGCATACAAGCTTGTAAGTTATCAATCAGTCGAGCCATGGTGGTCGGTCAAACCAAAGTGCACGGTTGACGAAGTCGGGGTGGCGATAGAACCAAAGTAATCAATCAATCGGGTTGAGGCGACTAGTCGAAGCAAAGTGAGATGCTCACCGGGCTGAGGCGGTCGGTAGGAGCAAACTGAGATGCTCACCAAATTGGGCGGCTAGTCAGAGCGAAGTGAGATGCAAACATGCCCAAAGCAAAATGAATGCAATATAAAGCAAACCAACATGCAGATAGCCAACCAAGCTTGTATTAGCGACCTCACCTGAGAAACCTAAGTTTTTGACCCTTTGATGTACAGCATCTCCACCTCTGGCTTTGGTGAAGAAATGTGGAGAGTTTCTTCCCGGGTCTTCGAGGGGAGAACTCTCCACAGTATCGTGAAATAGGCTAGCTACTATTTTTTTTCCATTTCCTGAACTCCTCCATAATTTGCGAAATGAGCCAACTAGAAAGCTTCGCGAAATGAGCCAACTACAAAGCTTCTCTCACATTGCTAAGTTCGGCCTCCCAATTTCTTCAAGTAAACCAGGGAATCCAAAGAAAGGGGAGTGAGAGACTCCGACTTATCGAGACTTGTGCTAAGGCTCACAACAGAGGGGAGACACATGGCTCTACGAAGGGTTTTTGGCCACGTATGGAAAATCCTAACTAAAGGCTTGCTCTAGGAAGACCAATGATCCACCACATAGGCATGCCATTGGCGCAGGCTTAAATCGGCGCACTCACCCCGTGTGGGCAATCGAACTCACACGCCTGGAAACCACTAACCCTGAGGCCGACTATGAGTTTCAAAGAAATCTCATGATCATGAAGGTTGCGGACATGTTCACTTTGTATGCTCCAAGCTCGCTTCCTCACTAGTACGGCCCCAAGACATGCACCTCACAACGATTAAAGGACCTAATGAGGCATGTAAAGTACCCAAAATAGAAAATTTTGGCACAGAAAAATGTGACAAAAACGTACCTTCGTGAGATAGGTCGGAAGAGACTATGTACCTCAATATCGTCGCCGCAACAACTTAGTCGGAGCTTCGACAAGAGAAAGGCAGCGAACATCTATGTGAAGGTATCCTTATGAAAGGGAGACTCAAGTCAGGAGAAGAAGCACCAGTACACGCCATCCCACAAGGAAGGTGGTCAGTGGGAGGAAGGCCGACGAGATCCGGATGCCAACAAGACATCACCAGCAGGCTTGCCGGTGTGGGATCAGACCGAGGAGGGAGGAGATAGCCAACAAAGTTTCGACCATGGCAAGGAGACAAGGAAGGGCTGCGCGAGCTTCGGCTATTCTACATAAGGGAGAGGAAGCTGCGGTACTTGGAGCTTTACCGCATGAGGGAGATTTGGCGAGGAAGAATGTTGGCGGGGCATGCTAGCCAGAGAAGAATGACGTCGAGAATTTCGCGTGTTGTAACTAACCTGGGGCGTGAGGAAAAGGTTGTTGGAGAGCGCAGCATGAAGGAAAGGTTGAAGGAAAGATTGACGGAAAGCGTCGTCGGCAGGAGCGTCAGCAGCAGCGCTGGCATGGATTTGGGTTTGGACTGCGTCATGGAGCTAGGGCACGCGAAGGTGGGTTAGGGCGCGAGGGTTTGCAATCCTGCGGGAGAGTAGCGTGTTAGGGCGCGAGGGTTTGCAATCCTGCGGGAGAGTGGCGTAGTGTAGTTTTTATATTTTTTATTACTATAATAATAATATTATTATTATTATTATTATTATTATTATTATTATTATTATTATTATTATCATTCACGCATTTTTAGCCTGTACACTACCTCGCAATGAATTGAATGTTCATTCTGGCTAAAATCGACATTCCGGATGCATTGTACAGTCTGTTTCATCATTCAGATTCATTCAAACTCCCTTTTAGGGTTCGTTTGGGCAGCTTGTACATTTTAGAATAAGCAGTTTATCCTGAAACGCGACCCGCAGGCGGGCCGCAGAGGTCGACCCACGACCTGCGTTTAGTGTAAAAACTCAAACACAGTTTCAGATAAGCTGACGAAACGAGAGAAACAAACAGTACGACAGCGTTTTGAAAACGCCACCTGCACTTATAAGCAGCCCCAAATGAACCCTTAAACAATCGGGCCAAAATGATAATTTGCGTATGTTTAGCCCTCTCGTAAAATCGTAGCGAAATAGCGTTTGTTCTAGGTGAAATCGACGTCTCGGACATACTCGCATGATCTATTTCGTCATTCGCGATCATCTGGACAACTTCGTTGACAGCCTGGCTTATTATAACTAGTTTTATGCTTGGCACAGTGAATAATATTTACAATTCAATCGAAGTCGTCTGACGAGCAAAATGTCGATCAGTCTTCGCCTAAAGGAAAACCAAATGGTTTGGACTGCGTCATGGAGCTAGGACACGCGAAGGTGTGTTAGGGCGCGAGGGTTTGCAATCCTGCGGGAGAGTAGCGTATTTTTAGCCTGTACACTACCTCGCAATGAATTGAATGTTCATTCTGGCTAAAATCGACATTCCGGATGCATTGTACAGTCTGTTTCATCATTCAGATTCATTCAAACTCCCTTTTAGGGTTCGTTTGGGCAGCTTGTACATTTTAGAATAAGCAGTTTATCCTGAAACGCGACCCGCAGGCGGGCCGCAGAGGTCGACCCACGACCTGCGTTTAGTGTAAAAACTCAAACACAGTTTCAGATAAGCTGACGAAACGAGAGAAACAAACAGTACGACAGCGTTTTGAAAACGCCACCTGCACTTATAAGCAGCCCCAAATGAACCCTTAAACAATCGGGCCAAAATGATAATTTGCGTATGTTTAGCCCTCTCGTAAAATCGTAGCGAAATAGCGTTTGTTCTAGGTGAAATCGACGTCTCGGACATACTCGCATGATCTATTTCGTCATTCGCGATCATCTGGACAACTTCGTTGACAGCCTGGCTTATTATAACTAGTTTTATGCTTGGCACAGTGAATAATATTTACAATTCAATCGAAGTCGTCTGACGAGCAAAATGTCGATCAGTCTTCGCCTAAAGGAAAACCAAAGCCTAGCAGGATGACACAGGCAAAGCGCCCCTCAACATGCGCCAAAAGATTTGAAATGGATGTTCAACACTACAAGAATCAACCACATGCATCAAGCAAAATTTCATAGCGCTCGAGCGGACATCTCACACATACGACATCAAAAATTGATGCCAACAATTAGAAAAGGTAGATGGGGTTGAATTCTATGTACTAACGTTTTACTTCTCACCTTTGAGATAATTGATTAATACAAATGAGTAACTTGATCCCATATAGCCTTCTCCTGAGTTTTGGCAATCCAAACAATGGTAGTTGAAGATAAGTAAAGGCCTAGGCAATCCAAAATAACTCTGGATTGCCCCAATAATCTACCTAAGTGATATGCAAGTTTTTAATATTAAAATTTGATCTACAGGCTGAATTTGCTCATACCTAAGGCATTTTTCTTTCTCATGAAAGGGGTTGCTCTATTTATAGAATTCAAATTAAAAATTAAAAATAAATCTAAACCACTCTTGATCGAACGACCAAGAGATATCTCCTTAATTAAACTACGCTTGAAGAACATTGACTACATTAATGATATTAAAATTGAAAGATCTTAGTATTGTTAGATTGGTCTTACAACTCAATTTAATTATAAATTTATTTGATTTGAAATTGACCTTCCAATTGTGCCTCAGAATCCTTCAAAAATGGATTTATAATTTAAACTTGATTTCATGTGAATTTTATTGATTTCAGTGTCGTTAAGTTCATCTTACCGAACCAATCAATTTAATTCTAAATTTAGTATAATCAACCGATCAGTTTTATTCTAAAGTTACAAAACTCAAATTTTGAATTAGTTCTAATGGAAATTTAAATATTTTTTTGCTGAAAAAATTCTCTCGAGATCTATGTCAAGCCTTAAATAGGGTGTTGCATAAGGAAATGTATTGATTTTGCGCACCATTCCTACTCCTATAAAGAGGTTGGGTTCCCAAATTCCCCCTTTAAATATTTTTTTGCTGAAAAAATTCTCTCGAGACCTATGTCAAGCCTTAAATAGGGTGTTGCATGAGGAAATGTATTGATTTTGCGCACCATTCCTAGACTCCTATAAAGAGGTTGGGTTCCCAAATTCCCCTAATGCTAAGGTGCTAGCCTCCTTAAACAATCACCCAACTATTTCTTCAAATAAATGACGAAAATCCTACTCTTCTAAAAAATTGAAGTTTTAATTCAAATTAAATTTTAAGAAATAGTTTCAGCTGTAATGAATGAATAAGAGATTAGAAAGATTTTTTGACCACTTTTCTCACCGCTACTCTACCTGAGGGAGTGGAGGAGTTTTTTAAAAAATATGAAAAACCTATGATATGCACCACAAGCCAACCTGTGCACAAATTTTCATGTCAACAAATCAGAGAGAGCCGTAGACTGCCACTCACGAACTGGATACCGATCAGACCACAAGACTAATTTCAGCGAGTAGAACTTCAATGATGAGAAGAAAAAGGACAAGAAAAGAACAGAACCAGAGATTAATTCCACAGCTATATCATCCTCCATATATTTACTTGGGAAAAAAAACTACTTTTCTGATTACAGTATCAGACAACCATTACTAAAACTATTTTCCCAACACAGTAAAACCTCAAACCTCTGTGCAGTTTTCAGAACCTAAAACCTAAGAAACCTTGAAAAAGAGGAAGAAAGAAGGAAAAGTAACTCATGAAGGAACCACAGTTATCTGCCTAAGCGGATGCAGAGTCTCAGGACCTCCAGCATGCCTCACAAAACCAGACGGAGAGAAAAATCTCCGATGACATTCGCATAGAATTCTAACTCCACGATTATCAGAGCACTCGTATAAATACCCATCAATCTTCTCCCCCTCGGCGCCTCGAGTAGAGACCAAAGCTCTCTTCTTTGGACTTAAAGCAGCTTTAGTTCGTCTTTTGGAATGAGTGGATGATTTTTTCTGTCCTAACATCAATTTTCTGGATTTTGAACTACGCGCAGGACTTGTTAGGCTGACATCAATTGAATGGCTTCTTGATTCATTGCTACTGCTGCTTTCTCCTGAAAAATAAAACAATTTTATAAGTAAATGCTTAACAGCAATTCTAATGACAATTCATATGTTAAAAATTGTTCTTTTTTTCCAACTTTAGACCTAAGATTCCTAAAAAAGCAATAACTTTCCACATTAAGTTCATATTTGCTACCGTTTCCTAATAACACATCTCTAACCAAAATACTAAGCTCAGTTTGTTAAAGAAACCTTTTTTTTCTCAGAGAGAATGCAAAATGGGTATCAAAATAAACCAATGCAATCAATCCGCCGCCAAATATAAATTTACTTGAGTAAAGACCTAATTTTGCTTTAAAAAAATTCAATTTTTAATTATACCTTTAACAGAAAAGCTCTGAAACACAGAAGTCCCGGAACTGCTAGTTCCGGGCGAACTCGACCCAGAGCCACCTGCTACCTCCGGCTTCCAATCACCGGCAACAACTCGATCCATTTCCACCACTAAATCCCGATTCAAACTATTTTCAACACCATCCGATGAGCATGGAACCCAGCAGGGCACCATACAAGCATAGCAATAGCCATTAGTCTGCTGAAAAATAACAGGCATCATCTGTAAACCATATTGCACAATACCGTCCTCCACTTTTCCCTTCTTCTCTTCCACTTCCTCGTCGCTCACCTGCACCCGCTCAGTCGACCCATCGTCGCCGGAGTTCCGTCCAAGAGAGATCTCTAGTCCTACCTCCATCGCCTCCGACGAATCCGTCACCACCGGCGGCGCCACCGCACGCCGTTCTAATTGTGCCATCAAATCCAACTCCATCTCAACGATTTGCCCTGCGAAAAAAGTTCTTTTTGTGAAAGTAAAGGCGCTATGGAGTCTTTTTTATATAGGACCTCTGCTCCTCCAAGTTGGTGACACGTTGTAAGCTCCAGAGCGAAGCAGGGGGTTGCGTGGGAAAGAGAGGATTTTGGAAGATCAGCTGCGAGGTTTCAAACAGCGTTAAAAGGATTGAGACGTATTGTTTGAGAGCACGAGTATTAAATTTTAAAAAACGTGGCTTGTTGCTGATTCGGTTTTTAACGTCTTGCTGTGTTAGATGTGTCGGGAACGGTGGAGTCGATAAACAGGTGGCGAGAGATGAAGGACGCGTGGTTGGCAGTTGGTTACTGTGACCGTGACACGTGGGGTCAGAAGATGGCTCTTGCAGTATCATATCCACGTGGCGTTCTTGGAGGCGGTTGAAGCGGGACGTGACCGGATCCACCTGTTGGGCATGCGGCTCTCGAAAGTTGTGAGCAAGTGGGGTCTTGGGTTTCTTCTTCGAGCCGCAGTTCTTTTTTGTCTTTTTCCTGAAAAATATCTCTCTCCCTCTATTCTGAGAGTTTTACTTTTTTTTTTTTTTTTTAATTCCTCTAGATACAATGCCGGTTTGGAGGCAGCTTATTAGCGCAGTGGATGTTTTAAAAATATCACAAATTATTTATTTGGTGCGTTTGGATCGCGATATGAAATCGCTCGATATTGATCCTTCATTATTCACGGTTGCACTTCAGACCCTCGTCCCCTCATTCCCGATCCCGTCCCAATTTCGCTTCTCCTCTTCGATCTCTCTCGTGCACTTTACCCTTCTCCCGCGATTTTCTCCCAACCCGTCCTGATTGCGGTCCAAGTCAGAGAAGCTCCAAGTAATATGTGATTTTCTCGCAACCCTTGGCAAACGAAAGGACCCTTTGTGCTCGAAGCTCTCCAACACTCGAATTGCAGTACACTTGGCAGACGAAAAGACTCCAGGTAAGAGGATCGAAGCTCTCCTTCAGCCCTTCTCTTCTCAACACCTTCCCCGTCCATTGTAAGAATTTTTTGACATCCTAACTCAAACGAAAGGCCCTAGGGAGTAAGAGGATTGAAGATCTCGTTCAGCCTAAAATGGAGCAAGAAAAAGTTGTCTTGATTTATGTTTTCTAGATGAATTTTCTTTTTTTGGATTTAGGTTTGCCCTATAATATAGTGGCTACTTTTGGATTTGAGGTTTGGTCTATTTTTTAGTTCAAGAGATTGATTATTAGAGAAATGGTTGTGAAATTTATTTTTCTATGCTAGGACTGTTTTCAACGCCTTTGTGTTGACGAGAGTATCATGTTCATCTGAGATTTTATTTGTTGGAGTAATTTACCACAAAAGCAATGTGTTGGAGTTTGAATGGCTTGAGTTATGAGTTCAATAATTCATTTTGACTCTTATTGCGCTCTAAAATCCAAATGTTTTATGTAATAAAGCATGGGAGCAAACCTTTTCATTCCCATGCTAAGATTTATTTCAACATATGTGCTCATAAGTGGTTCACTTATGAGCACAAATGTGAAGCAGAGCAATATTATCGATTTGCAAATTTGGACCAAATTGACTCTTAATGTAACTATTTTCAATTGATTGATTGTTAACACTTTGATTTGGTTTTTTTTCTGTTTATTTAGTTTTTTTCTCTGATTTGGTTTTTTTTTGTTTATTTAGTTGGATTTCATTTTGACAAACTATTTTTTTATTCAAACTATGAAAATATATTTCTTCATAAGAATGAAACTACAAAGCATGCGAATAATAACATAGAGTGGCATTTCACATTTTAAGGCAATTGATCATCATAAATTAAAGGCTTTTTTGGGATCACTCTTGTTTTTGTTTTTTCATAAGTATTTTCATGCGCAACACTTCAATTATTTGAGTATTTGCATATCTAATACTTGAATTTGAAAAGTGAAGTTACGGATCTCTTTAATTCCTAAGTATCACTTCAATTCTTTGAGTACTTACATGTCTAACGCAATTTTTTAGCTCTTTGATATACATGTATAGGTAATGCATAAAATGAAATGTATATGTGTGAGTTTCTTGATTTTCTCATTATATGCTTGCTTAACACTTTAATCTTAATATGTTTTATATAAAACTTTGTAATCATATTCTTTAAAGTGAAGTTGAAGATCTCTTTAATTCCTAAGTAACACTTAAATTTTCTATAGATGGAAGTTGGAAACATCCTTGTTAAAATTAAAGCCACTCTTTTTTCCTTGTTGTTTCCTCTGTATATAAATGCTATCTATGTTGTGTTCTTCCTTAGTTTATGGGTTTTTGGATTGGACTAATAGCTTTCACGGCAGAGATGTACTTGTTCTAGAGATCCATTTCTTCTCCTTTCCATGTTCGAAATGATTGTTTATGCTCTAATAGTCTGGTGCTTTATTTCTTTTTCATAAGCCACAATGGTTTTTTTTGGCTTTTTTCATTTGAGGTGATTTGTAATTATTGTTTTTTCATCAAAGTCACTCAAAACTTGACTTCTTATTATTAGTGTTTTTAATGTTTTCCATATAGTCTATTTGTACTTAATTTATTTTCCATGTATTAATTTTTCATAGCTCCATCAACTTGTCATTGAGGATGGTTTCAGTTCTCAATGTACTCGTTCCCTTGAAGAATCCTTGATATCATAAATGTTCCTTATATTAAAATGGTTTCTAATGAACTTTAATTGATTATTGAGTTGAATTGTAATTGTGATTGTTGGCGGTTTGATGGTTCTTAGGTTTTATTTTGTTGCGTTGAGTAGAAATTGATGTATCTTTTATTTTGTTTGGGTTTAGTAGAACTGTCTTCTATATTTTGTACGTTGAGCAAATTGCTTCTTGTTTTTTAATTGTTTTGTTTACTTACAATTTTTACTTGTAGTTATATTTTAAGTTTCTTATGGTTCCAACATGTCTAAGGCTAATGAAAGGGGTCTGTCTCCTATGTGTGATAAGAAAGTTACAAATATTTTTTGAAATATTTGTATTAAAGAAGTAGAACTCAGAAATAGGCTAACAAAATATTTTAACAAGTAAAGTTGGCAAAATATTGCGAAGGGATTCGAAGAATTGACTGGCAGGGATTACGACGTGCTAAAATTCAAAAACGAATGACATCAATTGAAGAAGAAATGGAAAATTTGGAAGGAGCTGAAACGTGGATCTACCAGGTTGGGTTGGGATCCCATTAAGCGAACAATCGATGCTCCAGACGAATAGTGGGTTGAGAAATTAGAGATAATTTTTACACACATTTTTTTTTAATTTTCATAATGTTCTGGTTTAACAAATAAACCCCCTCCTCAATACATGGTTGCAGGCAATGCCGACAACGAAGAAATACAAGCAGTATGAAATTGAGCCAGACTTTGAAGAAAAGCTTGACATAATGTTTAAGGGGGTTTTCGCGATGGGAAAACATGCATTCAACCCTAGTGAGATGAGTTTTGCAGGCATACCACATGACTTCCCACCCGAGCAGTTGACAGCTGATGAATAAGTGTGTAGTATTAACCAGAGGGAGATGGGGGAGTCCAGTTCACTGTCAAAGAAGCCCAGGCTTGGTAGGAGCAAGAAAGAAAAGGACATTTTTGTGAAAATGTCCTTCGATCGACTCATTGATGCTTTTGGAGCTCCACCACCTACTCCACTCTCTGACAGCAACATCTTAGAATGTGTTGGAGCTTTGGATTATCTTCCTGAAGTAGTTGCTGACATGCGATTTTATACAAAGTGTGTGAAAAAACTCAAGGATCCTACCCGTAGGCTAATATTCATGGCGTTGCGGCCAGAATTGTGCGTCTAATATTTGTGTGTTTTGGTGGATGAATGAGTTTTTTCAATGTGTTGTTATTTGTAGCTTTTATTGTGTTATGTACTTCTAAATGGGTCATTTTAATATGTTAATTTTTGTAATCATATTTTTTTAGTGTACTTCTAAAATGATCCATGTTTTTTATAAGTTGATCTTTGTACATTTTTTATTTAATGTGTAATTTGTAGGCCTTTATGTTTTCATTGCTTATTTTTTGCTTCTACTATGTCTTAACAATTTCTTTAACACTTACACCTTTTTTTAGGATGGATCCGCGGCAGAAACGTCGTAAAAGAATGGCATGGGCTGTAGCTATTGCGATATTGTTGTTGGAGTATTACCGATCCAGTGGTGTTCGCATACCCCGCATGACGTCCAGCTTTGTTGGGGATAAATGGGTGGGTGAAATGCTTTCTGGACATCTAATAAGGTTCAGCAACATATTTAGAATGACTGCACCTATATTTATGGATCTCCTTCATGAGTTATCTCTGAAGAACGACCTCTAAGGTTATTCTAGAACAATGAATAGGGAGGTGTTGGCTATAACATTATACATTCTGTCACAGAACGAATCAATTAGAGGAGCTATGGAGAGATTTTACCAGGATTTAAGCAGTCATCAGAAACAATTAGTCGTTACTTCACCAAAGGCGTACAGGCACTTGTTAGCTTAGCAACTCAAATCATTAAGCCAGAGTATCCATCATTTGTTAGTACATCAGAATAAATTACCAGGGGAAATTGTCAACGATCCTCGTTACATGCCTTATTTCAAGGTAACTATTGGTTTCTTCACGTTACTTTCAGAATATAACTAGTTTTTAAAAGTATAAAACAGAGCTGCACAGAACGAATCAATTAGAGGAGCTATGGAGAGATTTAAGCAGTCATCAGAAACAATTAGTCGTTACTTCACCAAAGGCGTACAGGCACTTGTTAGCTTAGCAACTCAAATCATTAAGCCAGAGTATCCATCATTTGTTAGTACATCAGAATAAATTACCAACGATCCTCATTACATGCCTTATTTCAAGGTAACTATTGGTTTCTTCACGTTACTTTCAGAATATAACTAGTTTTTAAAAGTATAAAACAGAGCTGCATAAATGTGTCGGCACTATTTTTGGTGTGGGGTTTGCTCGTAGGAAGCTGTCGGTCATCGGAATTGAAATCCCATTGCCCGCTTCGGAAGGACGTTTTTTTTTTTT